AGAGAGAGAGAGAGAGAGAGAGAGAGAGAGAGAGAGAGAGAGAGAGAGAAAGGTAGGTAGATAGATAGATAAATAGATAGATAGAGAGACAAATAACTTTTAAAAAATCGTGTTCTAATGTCAGCCCAAGGATTCGTGCAACGATGCCCGTGCAATCAAAAACCGCCAAAAGAAGATTAAATTAATTTAATTCTTTAAAACGTTTATTTAGTCATATTTCTGAAAAACGTTAGTAGTTTCTGAGATACATATTTGCGTAAATATATGAGAAAAAACATGTTCGATGGTAAAAAGTGACTGATCACGCAGCTATTTCATCCAATTTAAAAATTCTTTCTGTAAGTTTTTTGAAAGCAGAAAGACAGAATTTTCTCTCCCTGACTCTCTCTTTTTCGTTGTTTGTGTGTTCATCAATCTTACGTTCTATCTGTACCTTTATGTAAATATGTACGCTCTTTTCTTTCCAATGTGTTTCTGCTTTGGTTCATACAATTATCTCTAGATTTTTAGGTTTAACGAATATGATTGAAAATCAGCAGAAAACAATTTATAAAATTGAAAAAGCCAAGGTTTTTTTTCTACATCTTTGTAAATAACTCAGAAGCTATTAACTTATATCAAAAACAAGACGAAGTAAAAATTGTAAGGAATTAAATATACTTTATTATGAATGCCTTTAAAACTTTGTAAGCCTAATAGAGTCCATTTGTCCCAAAAAAGCATGATATTTGGAAAAACCTCTCCTAAAGGCAAAAAATAAATTGCTCCCAACAAATTTAAAAAAAAAGTAAAACTATATTTAAAATAATAATAAAAATTAATCTTAAGCTTGTGAAAGCGTGAGAGTGCAACGCCCATTTGGTTTAAAAACCTATGATCTTTGGGAAAACCTTTTCTAAAGCCATACGAGTAAAATAAATTGCTAACACCAAATAAAAGGAAAACATCAAAAACGTGATTAAATTAATTATTATTATTTAAAATAATATAAAGATTAAACCTAACCTGTTCTAAGTCTGTTTAAAGGACTTCGCGATTACCACTCCTGAACGCAGTATATATTCATTTCATGGAGGAGTTTAGTTTAAAGGTTATTCTTAACATTTTACAACGTTGACTAGTCACACTTTTCTCTAGTAATGTTAATTTTTCGAAAGCAACTTGAAGGGACTTGAAGTATGGAGTTCAATGGGAAGATGACCTGCAATAACGAGTACGTACTGTTTTGTATGCCAAGGTGATGGTCAAGCGGCACTTGGCTACCCACTGCATACATTTTCTAGCATTTTTTATACAGGGTGTCCTTTTTAGATGGTAGAGATGAATTTCGCTTGAACCAATGACGCTATAAAAAAGTGTTTAAAATTTTTTAGTCTATTTTCGAATTTTTATATTTTTTGGAGAAAGCACTGCTTTTTGATTGTGGTGGTACTGCGCGTCGTACCAGTTGTGTCCGAGGGATTTCCTGATAGCCCTAAAAAATTTATTCGTGTTGCTAGCAATATGAGGAAATTCGGATCAGTTGCTGTTCCATCACCAAAAAAACCGGTAGCGTAATTTCGACGAGGAGATGATTATTTTACTGTATGTTTGCGAAAGTCGGAATTCCTCTCTCATAAATGTTAGAAGGGTTTTAGGTTTTTCGAAAAATAAAATTACGGATGTACTCAGATCTTACAATTTTAAGCCGTATCGTTCTCATCTTGTCCAGGGACCTCTGATTATGACAGGCTGAAGAAAACGTTCTTCCATGCATCCTATGGACTGATGAATCCAAGTTCACCTCTAACGGCATACTAAACCGTTGAAATTTTTGAACGTGGGCAGAGGAAAATCCTAGAATTTCGTACTCTTGTCATCATCAGGTGATACACATTATCAACGTTTGGTGTGGACTTCTCGGAAATAAATTAATTGGGCCTTATTAATGGTGCTCAGTTCCTCAATGTTTTGAGGGAGGTTTTACCAACGCTATCCTCTGCAACAACGACAAATAATGATTCTTCAGCTTGATGGATGCCCCGCACACAATTATTTGCTCGTGAGAAGTTATATGAATCGTCGCTTCCGGAATAGGTGAAGTGACTCCATTTGAATATTTTCTGTGGGTCCATTTAAAAAACAGTGCATACGCCAATCAAAACCCGGCAACATCAGTTGAAGAACTGCGGCAAAGGATAGAAAATGCTTTCAATACATCTTCCCTGACTCTATCGCTCTGAGCACCGGTGATAAGTGGTTAAAAAGAATAAATCTTTGCATCTTTCGAGTTCGAACTTGAAACGTAATTCAACCAAATGACTGCTTTAATTCAAACTTTTTGCCATAACTTTGTCATTTTTTGACCAATTTATAATCCGATTACACCATTGTTTTCACCGTAGGAAATCCTTTAAAAAGATGTGTCAGGATGTATAGGGTCGAAATTGAAATTTTGAAGTTGAAGTGGGCCTGAGGTCCCTGATCGATCCGAGGAATTCGGATTTTCTCAAACATGCGAAGACTGGAAATTCCAAATGTTCTAAGTACCTTCTGTTATTATTTTCAGGAAAGCAATAAAACTGCGTAAGTCAAATGGTAACTCAAACACTTTGAATTGAAATGAAAAAATTGAAATGTATTTTATTGGTAATATAGGAGTATATTCTTCCGCAGGTAGTGCAATGAAAAACAAAAACAAACTCCTTAATATGCAAAAAAATAATAAATTCCAAAACGGCACATAGAACTGTTTGAATGAAAACTGTATTGATACATAGAACATGGTAAACCTAAATAATTTAATAAATGAAATTAACGTATAAAGATAAATTAAAGTTTTAATTATTTAGAATGTTTTGGTAATAGTTTTTAGCAGTTTCTGGCAAAAAATCCTACATGACAGAGAAATATTTTTTCTTGCCATCCGACAGGAATGGTTTCTGAATCAATGACATACACACTTTTTTACTATCATCAAGTTTAGCCCATTTTTTCCATAAGTCTTTATTATTGAATGAGGAATTGCACTGGATAAAACCTGGATCATCTTTGCACACTTTTATCATAGTAGCCTTCCCCTGTAACGTAGCTAATGCCAGAGCATTTTGTAAATCTGTCAGAGTGAAACCGACTCTTTTAAATAATGGCGAAGTCTTGATCACATGATAAAACGCTATGACCGCTTATTAGAAATTTCTTAGCAATCTTTTCAAAACGTCCAAGTGTACCAAAAACGTCATTAAAAAAATAAGGGTGCGGTTTTTATTTTGGCCTGCACAATTATCTGACCACATAACCAGTTTCTGCCGAAAATGTCATATGAATTCACTAGACGAAAAATGCAGGATACAATTTCTGATTCTCCAACTGGCTGATACGCCATGACACATGGAACCTTTGGAAAAATCACACGTCCCATACTTAGACCAGTGCCATCTATGACAAACGCGACAAACCACTTTTTAACGAGGTTATTAGAGTTATTGGCGATGGCACATAGAACATATTAAGAAAAAACTATCAGTTTTGAGGAAACTGGCACTTGCTAAACGTACTCACTAAACAGCAGACATTTCTACACAAGAACGGGCACTCTCAACACGGCACAAGAATGACACAATTACGCAGAAAACAAACACTTTGAGCCCTGAAGATGATCTCAATAAACATCGAAACGTTGGCATGATAAGGAAAATGTTTTTCTGAAACCTACGTCACACCAGACCGCAACTCACCATCTCCAAATAATCATTGACTATGTGGTCATTAAACACCACACATTTAAAATTAATCTTTTTTATGTAAGGTTTTGGTTGAAATGAAAAAGTTAGTGCCACGAGGGGGATTCGAAGTCTCGATAGCTCAAGTGGTAGAGCATCCCGCTCGTGGCATTAACTTTTTCATTTCAACCAAAACCTTACATAAAAAGATTAATTAATTGAAAGAAGTAATTTGGACAACAGCCCACTAAATATAACGGATCCTTTAAAATGATGTGTCAGGATGTATACGAAGTATGTATATGAAGTTGAACTGGGCCTGAAACACCTTGTAAAATTTTTCTCCAAAAAACGGTAAAAATTTGAAACTAGACGAAAAAAATATTAAAGGCGTATTTTTGGTTTTTCTGATATGACATTGGCTCAAGAGAAATTCAACTGGGCCATCTAAAAAGGACATCCTGTATAGTCTACTGGCATTGCTGCATTTATCTTTGCTTTTTTTTTATTTCCCTCGTCTTTCTGCTCTTGCTTTCTTTATATATGTGCTATAGACTATAACTTAATGAGCTTGTTGCCAGTCATGTAATGAATACACAACTTGGAAGTTTTATGATGCCGGTGGTCTTTGGTGGTTCGGCCGTTCATCCGACGAATTGGCAACGCGCAAAATACGACCTTCACCCAGGATTCGGGGTTGTTTTGAAATACTCAGTACCAAACTGTGGAATACCAGGTTTTTGAGGGAGTTGGATGGAATTTCTCTCATTGGATGGATAGCTGCCGAGTGGGGAACGAGCTGTAGGAGTGGCCCAGGAGAGCCAATGGGGAAAACTTGACCACATCGATCCCTCCGGGGGGCCACCGAGTCCCCTCCTCGTCGAACCCCGTCCAGGATAATAATTCTCCCTTTTTATTATTTCTTGGAATCCCTTTATTTAGGGGCTGGGGCCTGTTTCACCAGGGAAGGAATCCCGATTGATTTTATTTCCCTGTGCTCTATCAAAAAAAAAAAAAAAACTCACAGGAGAGGAAAACGATATCTGAAATACACTATCGGCCTATTTTTGTTAAAATTTTATACTACTGAGGAATATGCAATGAAATACTTTAAAATACTCAGGACGAACGACTCGAATATTTTTAAAAAAATAATCGCATTTTCTGCAATCAAATGTACCGGTTTCCATCTCGGCGTTTTTTCCACTTTTCTTTTCCTCCTTTTCACCGGATCACACCTGATAATAATTTAAAAAAAGGAAAACAATGAGGATATTAACCGGGGACGTTTGATTTCAGAAAATGAGTACCGTGGAAGCCTCCGCTCCCATATGTCTTTATATTGACGAAGCTGAAATCAAAACCCGAGGCGAGACTAACAAGACGTTTTCTAAGGTTAGAATAATAATAATTCTTATAATATTACGGTTAACTAATTAATTTAAACTTTTATAATCAAATTAATAGCATTTTTATTACTATGTCTCACCCATGACTAATTTTAAATCACACGGAATGTTAATAAATACACTTACTAATAGACTAACACTAATAATTTTTGGCCCTGGTATATTTTTAAGTTGGTGGTGATTTGGAAACCTTCTTCTTCTTCTTGTGCTTTCCTCGTACTTATTATTTTGGCCTGTCTGTCCTCGCTGGTTAAGTCTGACGCGTCTCCGATGAATGCAGCAAAATTACGTCCTATCGCGCCATACCAATTTAAAATTACAGGGAATCTGGCTAAAGACACTATGAAAAATTAATTTAAAAATAAACCGACAAATAGTAAGTTAGATTTAATATAAACTTCTCAAAAATGAATAGGGGGATATTTGTAATTTATTCTTATTGTATTAATTTTAATTAAATTAACCAATATAAGTCAGTTGGATAAAACAAAATAGAAAATACAAACCAAAAACATCCTTATGAAATTATTGACAACTTTATTAATAGTATGCCTAACAGGTGCACAGAGGACATTACACACGGTATTGTTTAAAAAAATTATTTTGCCCAATAAACAAAATTATGGAATTGAAACATTTAATATTGTTATTTTTCAAAAGCCCGTCATTAAATTTTAATGCAATTTATAATACAAATAAAATAAAAATGCAAGGGAAATTAAATAATACAAAAATGGCAAAAACCCTATTTTTTGAGCAGTTTATATCAAGAGTAACAACATGGAATTTGACTAGAAAAGTTTACATTCAAAAAATTAAAAAACGTAAATACATAAATGGATGTAAGCTTCTACTTTAGTACTTCTACTTTTTGAAAATTATTTTGAGAAAATAAATACGCACTAAGATTGTTTGATGTGATACAAATAAAATTGTATGTTATTCTATTTTATTTTTCATAAATTTTCATTGGTTTTATTTACAATTAAACAAATTTATCAAAAGCGAGAGAGCTTTTGCCAAAAAAAGTCTAAATTCTGCCAATATAGGACATATTTTTCATCGTAAGGTGGTCAAAGATTTGAAACTTTTCATAAACCGTACTTGTTTAAATACATTAATTCACATGTTAACTTATTATTATGACGCCTTGTAAATTTAAAATTTGAACGAAATATTTTCTGATGCTCTCTGCGCGAGGCGTATAAAACGGAAGTTTGAGGGTAAAAAGAAAGAATTCTTGGGGTTTAAAACTGGATATTTTCGCATGAAAACGAATGAACCGAACCTAATTAGAAAAACGAAAAAATTGAATTGGTGTTTTATAAAGACGGGAGTGAGGAAGATCACATTAGGATTGGTCTTGGCGTAAACAATACCTGATTTTTTGTCCAAATAAGACCTACCGGTTTTTAATACATTCAAAAACTAAATTTCTTGTTAATAAAACACAAAAAGAACAGATTCATTACTTATTCAAAGGTTCCATCTGCTGTTTATATTGTTAAAATCCGTCCAGTAGCATTTTCTGTCAAATCATAACCTTTGCGCCAGCATAATTTTAAATTCGTAAGTTTTGAAGTTGCCATAAAAGCAGAAAATCTTTATTAATACCTGATTTTTGTTTGATCAACTTTTTTTTATATATTCGTTGTGATTAGGCCATAATTTTGAAGTCGGGTAAAATAATCAATAAGACCTATTTGTCCTTAGTAGTGTCGACATCCTGTGACATATTCGATGCAAATCTATATGTTATCTTCAAAATAAATGGCCCAACAATTGATCAAAAGTAAAATTGATCCATAACACGATACAAAACCCAAAAGCGAAATTAATTAAGACCACGTTGTGAGATAACGTTTCCTTTTGTGTACCACTTATACACGAACTAAAAAAAAAATATTTAGTAAAACGGTATTATAAGTTCATAGTCATAGCAGTGGTAAAGTTTTAATTTACAGAAAATACACATTGAAAATAACAAAATGTTAATAGAGAAAATACTCTGCGTTCTATTTTCAAAATTAGCAGTCTTGTATAATTAAAGTTATTGTACAGAGTGATTCACTGTTCGTACGTCAAAGTTCAGATGCTTCTACACCTCAAATGGTACAAAAAAGTTTGTATGAACTTACTTACTTGATGAAGTCACTTTTTACTAACTCCTATTCTCAACCCTTTAGCATATATTCAACATTTCATATTTTTCCATTTACGTTTTACTGGTCAATTGACCAAGTTACTTCTTTCAATTAATTGTTCTTTCTATATAAGGTTTTGGTTGAGATAAAAAAATCAGTGTCACGAGCGGAATTCGAACCCACGACTAATCACGATAGCTCAAGTGGTAGAGTAGCGGCGTATTTAGCCGAAGGTCGTGGGTTCGAATCCCGCTCGTGACACTGACTTTTTATCTCAACCAAGACCTTACATAAAAAGAATAATTAATTGAAAGAATTTTATATTTTCTTCAACTATCTGAGATTTTTGTAATAAATCTACTCGTAGCTCTTGAACTATTGATTTTTTGAGAAATTAAAAAAAATCGCTGAGAGGGTTAATTTTTTTAAAGCCGCCTTTATAGAACTTTTTCAATTTTTCAACACTGAATCTTTGAAAAATTGCTTTAAAATTTGTAAAAAAGCTCAATTTTCAAATTCATTGGTAAAAAACCACGATAGAGCTTGGCAAATTTCATAACTTTTTTCATTTCATAAACTTTTTAGCAGTATACTTCTTTCTTTGATTACATCGAACCAAAATGGAGACATTTTATGCTAAATGCTAAAAAAAAATGGTGACTGTGTGAAAAAAGGGGGAGTGAGATTAATCTAGTTAATTTAATCTTTCGTCGCGCTCAAAATTTATTTCCCAATTTTAACTGAATAAAAAACACAAAAAGTACTATGTAAGCAAACATTTTGCCACCTCTTCCTTCTCTCTTCTTTGCCGATGATTGATTATAAACCTTGATTGTTTTATAAAATTATAGAACAATAGATCTTGTCAGGTAGAGGTGCAAAAAGCCTTGTGGCCAACTCTTTGTCCCTATCCCTAGTAGCGTAATGAAGCTCAAAATGCGATTTTATTGTTTATTAATCTTTTGATGTAAGGGTTTGATTGAAATGAAACAGTTTGTGCCACGAGAGGGATTCGAACCCTAGACCTTCGGCTAAATACGCTGTTCTACGACTATAATTCCCGGGTTCGAATCCCGCTCATGGCACTAACTTTTTCATTTCAACCAAAACCTTACATAAAAAGATTAATTAATTGAAATAGGCCTATTGAAATTCGGTCAATAGGCCACTAAATATAATGTTGTCGTTTATCTTTATTTGTTATTTTAATGATTATTTTCTAATTTATTTTTTTACCATGTGCGTGTTGAAACTGTGTTTCTAATAATAAATCAACGTTTGTCGAAATTTTTACACGGATTGTTTTCTGATTTTTGTCAGAAAAAACCCGTGGAAAATGATAAGTGTTTTTTGTCCCTCTTTCCGCAGGGTCTGAATAGGGGTGGGAAATGATAAAACTTATTAAGAGGGTGTACCTTTCAATTTTCCAGGAGAGGGTGGCCCCGAGGAATTCCAGCAATTCCCCTCTCACTTATTACTGGGGGAAATCTCCCGCCAAATTGCGTCCCTCAACCAATTCGGAGAGAGAAACCATGTGTGGACAATTACCACGGCCTTAATTCCAACCCATTATTTACAAAAGAAACGCGTTATTAATATTTAAAATGCGTTTAAGTAATAGGCAAGGCCGTAAATTGTCCCAACAGGGGGAGGTTCTAATTACGGAAAAAGTAAAACACTCTTTAAATTCTTACCCAGGCTGATAATTTATAACAATTTCGTCGTACAAAAAAAGACAAAAAAGAAAAGACTAATGAGAAATTTTCTCTTTTCAGGTCTGGAACCGCAGGTTCAGGAGAGCTCCAAAGATCTTTACTGGTTCTGAGGCCGAGGATGGCCGTAAAATAAACTCGCCATAAAATACAAATATATATATATAAAAAGTCATTAATAAGTGATAAAAGACAATGTGACTGCTAAAAGAAAACCCCTCCCGCGCCATACCCTGAAGCTGCTCTTTGCCAGAATTACCAGAAAAGCTTCCGACATGTTCGAATATTTGTTCAATTTTTTATTTTAATATATTTAAAAAAAAAGTTGAAGCAAAAATGTAAATAATTCCACTTCTTTTATTTTCGTTTAACAAGTGCATATTTTATAAACTGGTTTGCATTGATGTTAATTCTAAAAATGCTTGCTCGAGCCGTGTTTAGGGAGGGACCAAGATATTAAATTAAATTTCTGAGATATTGTACGAAAGAGAGAGAGAGTGTGAGTGAGAGGGTTTGTAGCAGTGAGGATTTACCTAATCCCAAGGATGGATAAGAAAAGAAACAGAAAAACCTTTTGTTGTATATTAACGTTTTAGCTTTAGAATAGGCCATGTGCAATGTATAAAGTATTTAGTTTAAGATAAATTAAAGTCTACTGTTATTGATTTGTACTTTGTTGTGTTTAATTGTTCTTTCAACCTTGTGCCTCTTAAGTTTAACACCGGATACTTTCAGATTGATAAGAAAACAGAAGTTTACGTTTAGTTTTCTGAGCGATTTCAAGTCAAAGTTAAAGGTAAGTGAAGTTTTTTATTTCAATTTTACAAAAACGATGAAAAACAACAACAAACCTTCACCCATATAATTCAACATTTATTTACCCAAAAACCCCGAAATAGTGCACAGAAATGTATAAAAAATGACAAATAATATACTGGGTGTCCCAGTTCGTTCTGACGAAACTCAGTAGAATCGATTGTACTCTTCGTTTGGAGGAAAAAATGCTCAGGAGGAAATTTTCGGAAATTTCTCTATTTTGAAGATATTCGTCAATTTAGGTTTTTTCAATTTTTCTCTACCTTACCACATAAAAACGCTTACAACTTCCAAAATGTTGAGACTACAACAAATCCAATTACACCATTTGAAAGAACGCTAAATTTGCTGTAAGATACTTCTATTTGCAATAATCTGAATGACATAAAATGTTAGCCAATATCAGTTGGAACATGTCAAAATTACAAAATTTAAAATTTTGGTCATGATTGCACGTTCTACTGAGGTTACAAAAAAATACCTACAACTTGTCAAATTTCACAAAAACTTCTTCATCTAATATGCTTTACGTTGATATATCCAGGTTTTTAAATAACGTTCTAGTAGAGTTGAAAAATAACAATTGAATGTTCGAAAACGTGAGCTAAGGTAAATTTGAAGGGGGGGTAGAAATAAATCAATTAGAACTCGCTTTGTAAAATAAAAATGACACATCTGTAATCTCACAAAAACCATACCAGAAAGCTTCATACAATAAAATGCAATGGTTCTTCTTGTAGCAAGCACCTAACAACAAAGGAGGAACTTTTCAGAGGAAATGCTCAAAGTGTTTTCCCTCTTCTCGAATGCATAACTGACTTTCTGAATTTCTACCCCCCCCCTTCAAATTTACCTTAGCTCACGTTTTCGAACATTCAATTGTTATTTTTCAACTCTACTAGAACGTTATTTAAAAACCTGGATATATCAACGTAAAGCATATTAGATGAAGAAGTTTTTGTAAAATTTTACAAGTTGGTATTTTTTTGTAACCTCAGTAGAACGTGCAATCATGGCCAAAATTTTAAATTTTGTAATTTTGACATGTTCCAACTGACATTGACTAACATTTTATGTCATTCAGATTATTGTAAAGAAGTATCTTACAGCAAATTTAGCGTTCTTTCAAATGGTGTAATTGGATTTGTTGTAGTCTTAACATTTTGGAAGTTGTAAGTGTTTTTATGTGGTAAGGTCGTGAAAAGTTGAAAAAACCTAATTTGCCGAATATCTTCAAAATAGAGAACTTTCCGAAAATTTTCTCCTGAGCATTTTTTGCTCCAAACGAAGAGTAGAATCGATTCCCTGAGTTTCGTCAGAAGGAACTGGGACATCCAGTATATAAAACGTTAGAAGTAATATATGGTCAGATATATTCCGAAATAAATCGAGTTCAGTTCATCTTGAAAAAGTCAAGTGTGCATGAGAGAGAAAGAGAGAGAGAGAGTGAGAGAGGGAGAGGTGAGTTAGACGATGGAATATAAAAATAAGTAGAAGAGACAAAATAAATGTAGAAAGATTTATAAATAGACCTAGATAGGTGAATAGATAGATGTATAGAAACATGATGATGATGAACGCTTTATTTACCAATCACACAAGATTTGGTCTCAAGGACCATTCTTACATCTACTGTGAAATACAATGGTTACTAATTTTACTCTACTTCTAATTTATTAAACATTAATTACTTCGAATAACCTTATTTTTGTGGTCAATATGTTACATTGAACTACGCATCTGTTTACTTCAAATTGCCTATTGAAATAAATGTTCTAATTTACAGAATAATTGACCAATCAAAAAGTAAATTACTAATAAAATAAGTGAAGAAAAATACTTTTTCAGTACAAATCATGAATTATAAATTGCCAATATAAATCTAGAAATACAACTTGTAGTCACTAAATAGTAATAAAAAAATTAGAACAAAAATAAACAACAAAAGAAGTTAATTTAAGACAGTGAATTTTTAGCATCAGTCATAACTTGATAAGATGGGACTTTGAAGACTATTCTAAAAATCTTTGATATTTTTACATAATTTTATGTGTGCTCGGTTCCTCGAAAAAGTTTTGTTAATTATTGACCTATTAAAAGTTTTGGTTTTGTGCATAACCACTCGCAGACGGTAGTTTTCAAACCTAGTATCTCTATCATGAATTTGAGACATATACTTAAATTTCACATATAGATATTTTGGTTTTTGAAATTTTAAAATCAAGATAGATTGTAATAGATTGAATCTTTAATTTTGAGAAATTTAAGTTAGGAAAACTTGTTATATGTACTACATGTATACATAACATATATCTCTAAACATGGAAAGAGAGAGAGAGAGAGAGAGAGAGAGAGAGAGAGAGAGAGAGAGAGAGAGAGAGAGAAAGAATTGAAGAATGGTTTATAAAAATGAGTAGAAGAGACATAAATAAAGGTAGAAATATTATAGATAGATCTATATAGCGGAATAGATAGATAGATGTATAGAAACATGGATAGAGAATGAGTGAGAAAGAGCGGAGTGACAGAAAGAGTGAGAGAGAAAAAGTGACAAGGACGGAGAGAGATAAAATACGTTAGCTGTTAGAGTATGAAGCACAAAAAAAAGTAGAAGAGAAATAAATAAATACATAAATATTTAAAAATAGATATATAGTTGGTTAGATAAATAGAAAGATATAGCTAGAGAGAGAGGGTGAGAGAGTATAAAATGAATTTCATTGTTACAGGCTAAAACTAAAAGTGCATAGAAGAGAAATAAATGAATAAAGAGGATGAAAAAAATTTTTTATTCAGTTCTTTTGTCTTCGACTGTAATCGATGCGACCCGACGAAAATCTGGACAGTGGGGTTCGCAGAGCGTCGGGTAGGTTAGCGCGGCATAGCATCGGGTAGATGTGCACGGGGGTAATGCAACCTTATGGAAAATCGGAGTTTGGATTTGCGTCGGGTAGCATCGGGTAGATGTGCACGGGGGTAATGCAACCTTATGGAAAATCGGAGTTTGGATTTGCGTCGGGTAGCATCGGGTAGCATCGGGTAGCGTCGCATGGCGTAGCATCGTGTTGTGTTCCTTGGCTTTAGGAAGAGAACGGGGGATACAATAGCCCTCAAAGGGCGCAGTATATTACACCCCGACTATTACATCTACATCTACATCTACAAGTGTGTGAGTATGGGCATGTATGTATAGTTGGTAATGAGAGTGAGAAAGTAAGATAGAGCGAGAATCAGTGCGCGCGTGTGTGCCGTGCGTACGTTCGTGTTTTTAAGGATTCCGTTTTTAGTCTTGTTTATTTTATTTGGCCAGAATTCCAATTTGTGTCGTTAAAACGCAAGGTGATATGCCTCACTTGCGGACCTTTTTTCCCATTATTGATTTCGTATCATTCAAGATCATCCAAAAAGGGTCTTCTATCATATATTCAATATTTTTTTTCCCCATCAACCTCCCCGCCTTCCCAAGGGAGACCCCATACCGGCGGACCACGGCCACTAAACTAATTCAAATGGGATGCAAGTTTAGAAGATCTTATTGAGCTTAACGTCTTCCTTCGACCTTGCCCTGAAAGGGAAGACCCAAGGAAGAAGGGAAATTTTTTTTCTTATTATTAATTTATCTAATCTAATAGGTCTCCCCCTTGCTGGTTAATCCTTTTGAATACACTTTCTAATAAATACAATATTTTAATAAATAAATAACAATTATGGGTACAAGGAGTAACCAGCCCGGAATTAAAAGTTCAGGGAAACGCTAAGATCTAACAAGTAACTTATCATAGGAAGAAAAAGAAGAAAAAAGAAAGAAAGAAAAAACTAATCAGGTACTTTATCCACTATAGCTCGGCTAACAGGCTTGAGGACCTCAAACGTCCTCTTTTCTTTAACCAGTTCGTTGAGGGTCGGTGGCCAAGTGTGGCGGAAGAGGAGCTTTAGTGGTTCCCTCACACTCTCAAGGAGGGGGCAGTTGAATAGTCTGTGTTGGACACTGTCATCAACTCCACAGTCGGGACACAGTGGACTGTTAGCTCTACAGAATCGGTGCAAGTAGGCGTTGAAATTTCCGTGACCTGTCATTATTTGTGTGATCCAGAAATCTGGTTGAAACCACTTTGCTCTTGCTCGGTCCTCAATACTGGGTAGAAACTCGTGGGTTAACCTTCCCTTGGTGCTCCTGTCCCATCTTTCCTGCCACAAGTTGTCTATCCAAACTGTAAGGATCTCCCGGATCTGCTTTCTAGGTGCAGTTCGTAGCCTTTCCCTATCTGTTGGCTCCTTTCCATCTCTTAGCTGCCGGATTGCAATTCTACTGTGGAGGACAATGTCTATTGGTGCAGCGGAAGCAAGGACATGGAGGGCGTGAGTAGGGGCTGTCCTATAAACTTTAGTCGTTCTCAGGAGCGCTATTCTTTGACTCTGCTCGAGGATGCATCTACTCCTGCTTTGCAATTTTGTTCCCCAAGCTGCTCCTCCGTATATATTCAATATGGCAATGGCTTCCAGACTGTGCTTTAGGCAGAGGACGGGGATACAATTTCTCTTAAAGGGCGCAGACTATTACATCTACATCTACAATTTTTTTTTTTTTTTTTTGAAAAAAAAACCTTAATTTCTTTATGAGATTTAACAATCTGTTCGAGTTTTCATCTCAGCCCGGAATCTCAATTTCTAAAGTAGTAAGCCTCTTAGAAATATTATTAAAAACAATTTTAGATGTAAAAATAAGTACGCTTTTAGATAAGCTTCCTAGGAGAGGATGGAATGTTTAAATTAGTGCCGTTTATACAATCCTTGGTTTTTAAAAAAAATAGAGAAAAATATATTAACACTCCGACTGAGTTTTGGGCATAGTTGA